TAGTTTACTGAACCAAGCTGAGTGTTTTTCAAGGCTCAGGAAACCCTTGCAGGTGTTTCGAGTTAATTAGACGATTCAAGTGATTCGTTGAACACCCTACTAGTATACTTTTTCATGATATTCTAATATTTAGAGATAGGATATTTGAGTTTTCTTAAGCTGTATGCCATAATCAGCAATATTAAAATAATAAAAGGCTTGCAATATTTCAGTTGATTTGTAATGAATCCAGAATGTATGACATTTTTGTTTTTTTAAATTGCATTACAGAAAATAAAGAACTTTATCACAATATTCTAATTTTCTGAGACAGTCCTGTACATCTTTCCAGTGATCTGATTGGTCAGTAGTCAAACGGTCTGAACCTCTAAAGTTTACCTATATTTTAAATGAGTTAACTCACTAACCTCTACGATTAGCTTTGCGGTACAGGCTGCGTACCTTCAGGTTGACCCGGATGACATTGTCAAAATGATCCTCGTCCATGTTGAGCAGGAAGTCGTCCTGGGTGATGCCTGCTGCGTTCACACACACTGACGGAGGCTGAAAGTAGTGAGTCTGCAGAGGGAGAGCATTGACTGTTAACAGACAAGATAGAAGGGGAAAATTGCATGGAGAATGTTGCAGCTTGACTTTAATTAAACAGTGTGTTAATTGTTTTGGGGCAGTAGTAAAGACCTGTATTCTTGTGACAAGATTCTTTACACTCTCTTTTGAAGACACATCCACCACAGCCGCCATGTGACCCTGCCCTCTGAGGTCCCTCTGCAGGCTCCCCAGGGTGTCATGGGCCGACTCCTCGCTGATGTCAGCGACCACCACAGAGGCGCCCTCAGAGGCGAGGCGCTGACACACCGCCCGCCCGATCCCACTGCCTCCTCCTGGGTGGGGAGAGAGCAACAGGAAGTTAGAGCAATACCTGAGACGGACAGCCTGTGTCGACCAATCGAGTCACTTTTATTTAGTGTGGTGTGCAGGAGGAATAATGTGTGTGCCAGGACTTCCTTTATCGAGACATTTGTTTGGGAAAAGGTCAAAAGTTTCCCATTTTATAATACAGAATGTCCTGGCCTCCATGTTCAAGCAACATCAATGTGCATGTCTTGCTTTATGATATTGACAACGTTTATTGTTAAACTTTAGTGACTTTTTTTGTGTATTTGCACTTCCTCCCTAAAAACTAAATAAACCCACGTTGATTTTTATTTTGAAAAGCAATAGCTTCCGCTGTCTGTTGTTGTAAAAGACCAATGATGCTTCAGCTTTTACATTTAACCTGAAATGACTACAGTCTATGAATCACTTAGAACATGAATGAATGGTAGGATAATCGGCTTCACTATTTTTTATGATCTTTGAGTGTTGGACTTAGACAAAACAAGACTCAGGGAAAGTGTACTCATGTTTCACTATTATCAACAATTTGATCATTCATAGAATTCATATATAATTAGTAATAAATATGATTTAGAGCCACAGTCATGCTCTATATTGAAAAGACTGGATGTAATCAGTCCTGGGCCAGCTGGTAATCCTTTTTCAAAGTCATGGATCAGAGCTAAGATGTAAATAGGCAAAAGCAAAACCCAAGGGCTCTCTAACTAGTTGTGACCCAAGAGAAACTTATAATAATTTACTTTAAACTTCCCCAGGGTTATTCGGGTACTTTACCTTTACAAAAAAGTTGCACGTAGCAAACATTTGGGGGTTTAAACAGTAAAACCAAGTGAACTGACGCCCGTGACTAAGGAAAAACATCAAGTCCTGCAGAGATTAGCACCCTGCACGTATTACTGTCTGTACCTATTAATACACGGTGAATGAAGAAGGGGAAATTATAAACCTACCAGTGACCAGTGTCAACCTTGATATGAGTCTTGTGGCGGCCGCCATGATGGGTTTGCTTCCTTTAAGTAGCCTTAGATTAGCCTCAGTTTGTTGCCTCTCATGTTACTTTTGACTCAAGTGCACAAACAACAAACATAGGGTTGTATCGACCTAGCAAAAGTCAACCTTAAAAGTTAAATAACAAAACAAAAAAAAGTCAACAGGAAGTTCGTAGCGGACTGTCACTGACCTGACGATGGAAGCAAAAGAGTAATAATAAGAAACGGCTTCCGGGCGGCTTTGTGTATCTATCTCCATCTAATAAAAAACAAAAATTACAACATGTTGCATAGTGAAATGTAAATAGAATAGCAGTTACAACCTTAAATTGTGGTCACTCAAAACCATAGACTGTGGTCACAGAGCACATACAGGTACGTCAATTGTAAACGTTTTATTTTGAAAGTATTTAGCGGAAGTGTCGCAGTTATTGAGTGTTTAACTTTAACTTGACACTAGTGATGTAGTTACTTTTTGTGGCCACCGGAGGGCATCTCGATTATGAATACAGTCAGTCCAGAAGAGTTACGACAGCGGAAGTCCAAAAACGGTTATCGTCACGTGGTTCATGTAGACGAGGATCGTTCCCCGGAAGTTCATGGCGGGCAATGTGAATGCATTGATAACAGGAGATAGAACTACGATTTTTGGTAATTATTAGTGAATAAAGCTTTTGATTTGGAATATTTATACAACAAATCGATATGTGTATGTATTTACATCAATATGTTTTAAAAAATAAAATGGAATTTGCTAATATTAATTGATAATATTAGGATTAGTGTGAACAACTAGTTTACATGTTAGGCTAACAGTGCCTTGGTTAAAGAGCCTGTTGCTGTTTATTTATAGCTTTGAATTCTTTAAAACCAATATTATCTTCTTAAACTTGTATTGTAGTCAGGAGCATCACTTTCTAATGTTTATTGATATATTTAGAGGGAGGGGATCTAAAGGACTGCTTCAAAATTCAGATTAGATTCATTTCTACCATTTTCTTAAATTCATGGTAGTTTCAGTAATCCCATGGTAATTGAGGACACAAGTTATCTAAATGACTAATGTCATCTTTATGGCTTTCAGAAAGG